CTGCAAAGCAGGCGCGTGGAAGGGCGAAAATATTACGAAAGTTTTGGCCGAGGTTATGGTGAAAGTTATGGTATTTAAAAGTATTTAAATGCAGTGTTTTAGTGTTTATGTGCAAATTGGCAAACCAAAGAAGACAAAGACTACCTATTCACAGATTTTACAGCCATATACAACAGGTGGGAAATTTGTCTGAGCATGCGCGAGCAAAGTGAGCAACACAATTGCGTGGAATACATGCAACGCGTGTTTACAAAAAGGCACAATCGTGTAAATATTGCCAAATGTTTGTACAAAATAAATGACTGTTTTATGTTGAAAATGGACATGATCTAAATTAATCATACAGAATTTTTTAGTGACGTTCTATTTCAATACCCTGCCATTGTCTCTGGTGGGCTGTCCGTGTGCATTCGATCTGAAACAGTCGCTACTATGCTGTCGAAAAATTTCGAATGTTTACATGAACATATAGAGGCAAGTCATGCATTTTACAACCTCGTAAACTGTATGAGCCCCTATTTTTACGCTTATACCTAAATATCAAATAAAAGTATATGAAACAGAGAACATTTTTAGAAAGTTTTATCGTGAGGCCACGGCCAGTTTTTAAAATATCTTTATTTCTGTTCCGGTCATCACCAAAATTACACTAAAGCCGGGCTTAAATATACAACAAATTTAGAATCTCATCAAGTACAAAAATATTTAACGTGTAACCAAAATATGCCCACGAAATCGAAATTAATAGCTAAATTTCAAACTAGATCCTTCTCGAAGCGGTTTTCATGAAGGAAGTTCACATTTCGGCCTCTGATTCTTGGCAAAAATTTGACAACAACACGTGCGAAGCAACTGGGTCCCAAGACTCAGCTAAAACCATAGATATCTTATATACACTAGATAGCGCATCTCTTTTATTAAAATTGAAGCCAAGAATATTCCAGCGGTTACCCTCATTTGAATAGATGGCGGCCATATTGGTCGTTCCCACTTGCTAATAAACGCTTAAAAACAACAATAACTTTCATCATTTGAATAGTTTAAAAACGTATTTGGAATAGGATTAACTTAATGTTTAAGTTCCCTGTTTAAGAAATAGAAAACATACGGATCTTCTCATTTCATGAGAACGACCTGAGACTGCAATCACGGCTTCAGTTTTTGAATTGCAGAATAATTAGATGCACTATCTAGTGTATATAAGATATCTATGGCTAAAACATTGTGAGCCCCTATTTTCCTGACGATATGTTTGATTCCTACAAACACCTAAAAGTTTTTTCTTTTCATTTATCTATATTTGAAATTGAGGCCACGGGCTATTTTTGAGAAAATACAGTTCAAAGTCAAGCTATTTTTACATATTTTCAAAATTTGTCAAATTTCGCGAGCTTGTATTTTGAACTTAGACAGCTGAAGTTACATTAAGAAACATAGCATGGAAAATTTGAGGCATATAAAGTTAATTTCAACTTACATTTCATTCTCATATCACGTCTTTCTTCGTTTATTATGGTTTTAAACAAGTATACTATTTCTCAACACTCGCATTCTTGCTCAGTTTGATAAGGTATGGCAATATTGATCAGCGTCTTAAGCCAAGCTGAAAGCTGAAAGCTTGGCTTAGAATTGCGGCGCACGACTCACCCGAAATTTGTGGGTGGGTGGGTGGGTGGGTGGGTGGGATCGTTTGCCACTTGCCTCTCAAAATGTGGAACTGAACAAGAGCGAGAGTCTGGGTGTTGTCCGCACCTTTATAGCTACATCAGTCACCCATGCACATAATATATGCAATACGTTTCATAACAACTTTGTTTTAGCCTTAATTTGTTTTCGCATATCATTACGAGTGTTGAGAATAGTATACTATTTCTCAACACTCGCATTCATGCTCAGTTTGATAAGGTATGGCAATATTGACCAGCGTCACTGCCTAACCTGATATCTCCTGTTCGTGTGGGCAGTCTTTTACCATCCCTACACCTAACTAAAACATCCTATACATACACTTAACCCAATACTCATTCCTTAATTCCCCCAACCTCATCTTCCGTTTGCTGTTTTATTCCAACAATGTACAAATATACCAACATAGATATTACAGAAAATCAAGCACAATTACGATATGAAGTAAACAGAGACATTTCAACATGTACGGTAGCGTTTCAATAGGGCTACTTTAGGAAATGTTAGTGGTGTTCGTAGGAAACGCTGACACAAATCGCTGTAAGTGATTTACATCTTGCCATGGATTGACCACATTTCCGGCATTGCCAGAAGCTAAACGAGCTGAAGCACCCTCCGGATGCAAGACCTTAGCAAGTTGCATATAATGCAGAGCTGTATGACGGCGTGCCCAACCCACGTGCTGGATGATTTCCGGCAAATCGGCACCAGTAAGCGCAAGAGTAATAGCACAACCAGCTCTGAAACCATGCAACGTCTCTCCCTCATCAGACCCCATTTGCCCCAAGTAAAGTTTCAAGCGAGCTTCTGCGGCAGAAGACGTAAATGGAGAATCCTGACTGCCTCCTTTAGGGGTCGTCGGTCGAAAGAGATACCCGCGAGTGAGGTCGACCTTCATTTGACGAGCAACATCCATATACTGTTCAATACCACGAATTGGACAAATCGTCGTATGTGGATTGCGACGTACACCAAAGACATTCTGATCACCATCACGCAGCGTCTTGCCCCAAATATGATTGAAAAGCATGCCATCATCATTGGGAAAGCGCAGGATCTCTGGAACTTTTACCTGGCCAAGGTCGCCAGGCCGATCACCACTAAAAAACGCCATTTTGAAATAGGCCTGATCGCGAGCCACTAGAAAACGCTCGATTTGTGATTTAGAAGACTCCAACTTCCGCTGAAGATGCAAAGACAACTGAGTTAACTTGTGAACAAAAAATGGGGTAGCTTGCTGGGGCGTAATCCGTGCTTGTAACTGTTCGGCAGTCACTAGACGGAGATAATCTTTAACGGATCTATCCGCAGCAGGATTACCTAAACCTAAACGTGTATCCCATGCACCATCTCTACCATTCGCCTGAAAAATTGAACGTAGTTTACCAACATATGAGTCCACCGTCTGATATGAAAGCCGAATCGGACAACCACATGCCTGTTTTCCCTTTTGACCTAGGAACTGACAACCATGTTGGTAAACCTGAGTTTTACCATCTTTATCTTTATAAACCAAAAAACGACATATGTCGCTTGGCAAAACGGTAGGCAAAGAACGATGACCCGGAAGAGCCGATAAAAATACTTCAAGTTGTCTTTGTAAAGAATCTTTCTGCTTTGAGTAGCTGGTTGCTTTATCAAAATTGCCCAACTGGTGCAACCTGCGATCAATCGACACAAGATCAACAACAATATTTGGATGAATGGACTGGTTATGAAGAAGTTTCCGAATATAACCACAGCATTGGCAATAACAAAAATCGTGATCATTAGCATGCCCACACTGTGGACATTTAACTGATGGAACGAATAGCTTTGCTACAATGGGAAGTTCCTAAAAGAAACAAAAAACTACTAAAACAAACACTGGCAAACAAACGGGAGATATATTTGTAATAGTCTCTCTGTTAATTTAATTTATTAATGTATTTACAACTCTGTATTAACTTCAACGAAATGTAAATGATCACTGGCAAGGCATAGTGTTCATAAATACAGCAGAATGCGAGACAACATCGACGGAAACAGTTAAACGCTAAGCGCAAAAACCCACAAATTCCCCGGAATGCCAGGGTGAGGAATCCAACCATGCTGGGATGGGACAAGAAGAACTCGAGAATCTCCTTTAAGGCCACTCGTAATGACTTTCGAGAACGAGACAACAACAATGGCCACCAATACTTTCGGGGATACACATCTAACACAACCATCGTGCATGGCTGTCGAACACTTCGTAAGAAAGACAACACAGGACCAACCAATAATGTCGGAGGGAAAACATATGGAAATTGCATAATAGCACGGTGGACGAAAAAATCTTGAGCAAACATATTCACCCCTGCAGACTCGGGCGATGACCAAGGCGTAAAGTGAGGCAGAGCCCGCCCTGTCATATCACGCATGACATTGGAATCAAGAGCCATTAAATCACACGAGTGTCCTCGAGGACCACCAAACTCTCTCTGAACATCCTGCCACAACTTGTCCGTTAAACGAGCATCTATGTATGACAAACGGCGCGACGGTAGATCAGCCGGGTTGGCTTTTGTAGGAACATAGATGAGGTGTAACGCAACATTCATATTCAGCGTGGTAAAGAATATGTTCTTGAGCGCCTAAATAAGCATATGGCTCCGTCCCCGTTCGTTAGTCCAGGCTTGAAGAACTGCCTGATTATCAACTTGAACATCAACGCGAGTATCACGAAGAAAGTCACGATTTGATAAAAGCATAGAGCAATTGCGAAACTTAGTAACCGCGCCTTAGTAACCGCGCAATTGTGATTGTGATTGTGAACTTTATTTACCTACGGTAGACTTATCAGAATTTTACATAAAAGATGATAAGAGAATACAATATAGTTACAGATTACAGAATATAAAAGTTAATTAAGATACTAATTATGTATACATACTATACTAATACTATTTATATATTACAAGAATACCTGTTTTCCATAAGTGCCGTGCTAATATATTAATATAAAAATCTAAAATTATTGACTAATGTATAAAGTTGCTGCAGTCTGACTTGAATTTACGTAATGAGTTAGACTGTCTCAACTCAACCGGAAGGGA